GCTCACCGCTTCCTCAAGGACACTAACTCTTCCTTCTCTTCCAACTGCTGGGTCTGCTTGTCCATCCAAACCCAGCGCTCTCTAGCCGTCCCAGCCCCACTAACGACTTGGACGGACTCACCCATGAAACTTCATATTACATACTCGGCCCGGACCCTCTCCGGCCCTTATCCTATGACTGACCTTGAGAAGCGCCTCCTGCTTTTCCATCCATTAACTGCTTATTACTCTTTTGTCAATCCCGACCGACGGGCCATTGCTCTTCTTCAGCTCACCAGCTCGACACGCATACTTCCGATACTTTCTCGGCTCACCTCTGTGAAATACCCTGACGATCGCGTCTATGAATCTGCCCAGCGCCCCATATGGGGGCCGCTCTCCACCCAGACTCTCCTCACCTCCCAGGCCCCTCTCTGTATATCCCGTTTCTTCCAGAACTCGGAATATGCCACCTTCGTGGGCAATCTCTCGGCCTCTCTTTGCAACCACACCTTTCGCCTCTCCCCCTCGGCCGACCACCAATCCATTGATCTGTCCACCAGCCACGCGTTTGCCGAACTAATGGCCATGCCGGGCTCTAAGTGGAGAAACCCCTTACGCTTTTCAGGACCCCCTTCCCTAACCTCAGGGAAGCCTCACCACCCTTGCCTGGTCGATGACATCCACTGTCACACCTACCCAACCACTCCCTGGAGGCGATGTCCTTCCTCCCCATCTAGCACCTGCTATAATCTCACGCTCTTTGAGCCGGACAACCTAACTCACCCCCTCACCCTGTCTGTGGACACCACATACTTCAAGATTAAACTTCAGGGACACAAAGAGCCCTATCCGCTCTTTCAGTACCAGCCCCTCATGGGGGCTGCCCTCTCTGGACAATATTCAATCTGGGAAGATGAACCCACTGTCCAGGAAAACGGGGGTATCACTCCAAACATCTTCTCCTATCTCCTCTCCCTAACGTACTCCTTCTGTCTCAACTCCTCGGGCGTCTTCTTCCTCTGCGGGAGCTCGACTTACGTCTGTCTCCCGGCCAACTGGTCGGGTGTCTGTACCCTTGTCTTCCAGTACCCAGACATTGACCTCCTCCCCAGTAACCAAACCATACCTGTCCCCCTTGTTGCTACAATTCCCTCCTCGGTCTCCACGTCCCGCCGGAAGAGAGCCGTTCACCTCCTCCCTCTTCTCGCGGGCCTGGGCATCACTTCTGCCCTCGGGTTGGGCATCGCCGGCATCGCCACTTCAACCATCTATTTCCAACAGCTCTCGAAGGCTCTCTCCGACAGCCTAGACGAAATAGCCACCTCCTTTACCACCCTCCAAGATCAAATAGACTCGCTGGCGGGCCTCGTGCTCCAAAACCGCAGAGCCCTGGACCTCATCACCGCCGAGAAAGGGGGCACCTGCCTCTTCCTCCAGGAGGAGTGCTGCTTCTACGTAAACCAGTCCGGAGTAGTCCGGGACGCAGCCAGGAAACTTCGAGAGCGAGCATCCGAACTCCGCCCGAGCTCCAGCTCTTGGATCCAGGGGCTGGGGCTGGGATACTGGCTGCCCTCCTGGTTGACTTCCTTCGTGGGACCCATTCTCTTTATCCTCTTTCTGCTCATGTTCGGGCCTTGTCTTCTTAATTGCCTGACCCATGTTGTGTCCCAGCGAATGAGCTCTCTCATCCAGAGCACAACCAAAGGGCACGTGGACAAGATCCTTCTGCTTCGAGATCCCCAATACAAGAGGCTCCCCCAGCACCCCCCTGAGGAGGACGCCGTCTAACAGGAAGGAGCTACCTGAACCACAGCTCCCCACCAACGCCCCCCCCCCCCCCCCCCCCCCCCGTCTCTATCTACCCATCTGTAGAAATAAACATCAATGTTAGCCATACCTGCGCCATTGTGAAAAACCCCGTTTTGTTTAATGGTGGCAGTTTTCCCCCAACCACAGCAATCAGTATTCTAGGCTTATTTTTCTAGATGCCCGGCATCCCTTGCACCCCTGATAATGGCTGGCCCTTGGAGATGTTTGTGGTCACCTGGCAATCTTCAGTCACTGCTCATGACTCTGCGATGGTCACTCCCGGAAACAGAAGCTTTTAAGCCTGACTCCCATTCTCCCAATTCCTTATCTGTAGGGTAAAAGGGCCAGCCAAAGAAACCTATCCTGGCCCTGAAACCAGACCTAGTAAAAGAAACCCACCCTGTGGCGCACGCCATTAATCCCAGCTCTCGGGAGGCAGAGGCAGGCGGATCTCTGTGAGTTCGAGGCCAGCCTGGGCTACAGAGTGAGATCCAGGACAGGCACCAAAGCTACAGAGAAATCCTGTCTCAAAAAGCCAGAAAAAGAAAAAGAAAGAAACCCACCCTGGCCCTAAGACCCGAGCCAGTGAAAGAAACACTTTAACACTGAACCCAGAACCAGAGAAACATACCCTGACCCTGAAACCAGAGCCAAAGAAACACACTTTGGCCCTAGAATCAGAGCCAGTGAAAGAAATACGCCCTGGCCCTGAAACTAGAGCCAAAAGGCTAAAAAGGGCCAGTGAAAGAAACACACTTTGGGGATGTGGGGTGGCTTGGGAGAGAGGGCTGGGGGGTGGGAGGAGGTGGGATCTGTGGGTAGTATGTAGAGTGAGTAGAAAATTTCTTAATAAAGAAAATTTTTAAAAAGAAAAGAAGGGAGGGAGGGAGGGAGAAAGAAAGACACTTTGGCCCTGAAACCAGAGTCAAATCTGCCCCTGACCCACTAAGCAGAAAACGAACCAATCCCTGAGCAGAAAACCAACCAATTCATGGGCAGAAAAAAACGAACCAATCCCTGAGCACAAGATCTAGCCAATCTGAGCTCAAGGACTGAAATCTGATCATTTCCCACCCTGAAAATCTTCTCCCAGGGAAAACTCCGCCCCTAATCAACCCTATATGAGCCCTGCATCTGTTCAGTTTGCTGGGGACTTCTTCCACCCTGGATGAGGCAGCCACTCTCCAGGATTTTCCCCTCCCAGTAAATCTCTTGAATGAGGTTTGGATGACACCTTCTTTTGCCAGAGGGGAAACCGGAGCAGAGCTGTTACCCTGGGAAAGCCTTTCCCTGGAGCAGGGCTGTAAACTACTATGCTTACTGTGACCCTGACCCTGAAAGCAGAGCCAAGGAAACACACTTTGGCCCTAGAATCAGAGCCAGTGAAAGAAATACGCTGAGGTATTCCTTGGCTCCTGATTGCCAGAATACTTTTCCATCCGAGCTGTGCTAACACTTACAATATCTACCCCCTCGTCTGTAAGCAGAGACCTCCTTTCCCAACGTTTTTCTCGGACTGAACCCGTCCTGTTGCAGAAGTCGCTCATTTCCTTGTCTGTCTTTCCTTCCTTGGACCTTTCAGTCACCACCCGGGGGCTTCTGGACCAGAGGAACTGGTCTGGATGCTGGCTCCCCAGCTCCAGGGACAACGGTCAGCCTTGAATATATTTCACATCCTGCTGCCACCAAATGAACAAGACTTTTCTAGAAAGCAAAGTTCACTTTGATTTACAAGGAACTCTGTTTTTCTAAAAGTAGGCTGGGGTCCTACCTCCTGCCCCATGTCATGTCCTTTCTGTGAGGGGGACTGTTAGTTCCCGCCGCAGCTGGGGCAGCCAGCAGCAGGCCTGAGCGGTGACAGCATCACCCGCCACCAGGTGCCTTTGCATGTCAGCAATGCAACCCGCGCACCCTTAAAAGCGCCTGTCTGTCAGTTCCCTCTCTTGCTTCTCTTGCCTCTTCTTGTCCTTCTCTTGCCTGTTCTCTGTCTATCTGTCTATCTGCCTGTCTCACTCCCAGACAGGCTTTGGCTCTTTCATTGCCCCGCCCATGTCCCGCCCCCAACCTTTTGCACGCGTTCTCTTAGGGGCAAAGCTCGCAGGGTCCTTCCTAGGTACCCTTTTCCCGCGTTTTCACCCTTTCAGGGAGCATGGTCCCCACAGGCTCGGATGTTTGAATACTGAGTCCCCAGTTGGTGGTGCTGTTGGGAGATGATGTAGGGGGTGTGGCCTTGTTGGAAGAGGTGTACTCTTGGTGGTAAGCTTTGAGAATTTAAAGAGGCAGGCCACTTTGAGTGTACTACCTCTGCCTTGTGCTCGAGGTTCAAGGTGTGAGCCTTCAGCTTCTGCTGTGTCTACCATTTGCTGCATATCCCCCTCTCCCCACCCCATGACAGACTCACCACCCCACAACAGTAAGACAAATAATCCCTCCCTTCCATAAGTTGCCTTGGTCACCTGAACTCAGTGATGCTCCTGCCTCAGCTTCTTGAGTACTGGGACCACAGGAATGCATCAGCACACTCAGCTCTAACGTTGTTTTTTTTTTTTTAGTTAAAGTCACAAACCAGTGACATTCCATCTGTTTCTCATGCTGTGTTTTGGGAGGAAATAGAAGGCTCTTAATGGCGTGAATTCCCAGAAGGGCCCCAAATTCTCAAGAGATGCCCCCTTATAGGGCTGGAGAAATTAGATCCGTGGTTAAGAGCGCTTGCTTCTCTGAGTTGGGTTCCCAGCCACCAAGACTGGGTAGCTCACAGCTGCCTGCAACTTGGACTCCAGGGGATCCTGCTCTCTTTTCTGACTCAAGGAAGCTGCGTCCAGGTGCACACACATACACATAATTAAAAAAAAAAAAAAAAAAAAAGGCCGGGCGGTGGTGGCGCATGCCTTTAATCCCAGCACTCGGGAGGCAGAGGCAGGCGGATCTCTGTGAGTTCGAGGCCAGCCTGGTCTACCAAGTGAGTTCCAGGAAAGGCGCAAAGCTACACAGAGAAACCCTGTCTCGAAAAACCAAAAAAAAAAAAAACTTTAAACAGATGTCCCCTTAGGCTTGGTACGGATCCTAGGACAGGGCTGGAGGAAGACCCCTGTCCCCAGGCAAAGAGCTCGCAGAGAGCTGGGTATGACTGCGTGTCTCCAGAGGCTGAGGCTGCAGGCTGGAGAGCTGGAGGTCAGCCTGGGCTACATAAAGGAGACCGTATCTCAAAAAGCTCAATCTATGCAGTTTTATTTACAGAGGGAGGCCTCTCAGGAAATCCGGAAGGCTGCAAAGGAAAAACTCCCAGGACCTCAGAAGCCCAGCTCCGGTCCCCGGGTAGCAGAGCCCCGCCTCCTGCTCAAGATGTCAGCTTCCCTTCCTCCACAGCGGTACCAACCAGAGGCATAGATGTTCGGCTTCCTCCAAGGCAGGAAGAATCCGGAACCAGCCAAGTCCACGTGTCTGGAAGCAGCCGGGTGGTGGCCAGCTCAGCAGGCGTCTCCATGGCGACACCACGCCCACCTCGATGCGAGGGCTCAGCTGTAAGGCTAGGCTACCTCAGATCCAATGGGCAGAGGCTACCATCCTCATTCAAATCAGAATCTCCACACAGTGGCGTTTGGATTTTTAAGTTTCTTTAATGCCTATTTCCAGGAGGAGCCGGAGTGGTTTAGTAACAGAAAACTCCCATGGATTTCCCACTCCCCGCCCCCTGGGCCCACCGTAGCTGGAGCACACAGGGTTAATGATTTGCTGTATCCACAATGTTTCGTCCAGGCCTTTTTTTTTTTTTTTTAAAGCAAGCTATACATAACAATTTAATAGAACCTGAGAATCTAATTCCAGTATTTTTCAAACTTATCTGTAAGTCTTTCCATTCTGGGGCGATTCATTGTGAAATTAAACAAAATATGAATACTTCAGCTAAATGTCAAGCTAACTATTTATGACATAGTTGCTTCTATAATGCAATTATGAAGGACTGTCAAGAAACTTGTATGTAGAAAAGTTAGTCAAAATACTAACCATAATGTAAAATACGAAGCATTTCTGATTTGCCAGATGGAGAGGCCTTTGAATCATCATTTTCAACTACAATGTCACGGAGCTGAAGGAACCAGTCACCTTGTGAACATAAGGAAAAAAAACACATGCAAATGGATAAAATATTACAACTTTTGTAGACCATCTCTACCTTTAACACTTCTTTTTATTTAAATTTGTTTCTTATTTTATGTGCATTGTTTGTCTATGTGAGGGAGCCAGATCCCCTGGAACTGGAGTTACAGACAGCTGTGAGCCTCCATATGGGTGCTGGGAATCGAACCCCAGTCCCCTGGAATTGTAGCCAGTGCTCGTAACCACTGAGCCATCTCACCAGCCCCCTTTAGCACTTCTAAAGTTTAGAGACTTGGAGTATTCTTACATTAATTGCAAGAAAATTTAAGGGAGAAGATCCTTTGAGATCACAAGTATGAGTCACATGGTTATACAAACCCTGCTGCACTGGGGTGAGAAACACGCATCACATTTACCTTTCTTGTCGGCCACGGAGCAGAGATAACAGCCACCTCTCTAAGAAACCGACCAGATGTGTTTCTGTACGGCAGTAACGTCAGCACTACAGTAACAAGAGCTGCAGTGTCCTTTTGTTATGGTTCCAGAAATCGGGGAAAGAGGTCACGGGAAAAAGAATCAAAACTGTTCCAGCCTAGAAACTACTTGTTGAGTTTCACCGAGGGGCCACCTTCATTTTTACGTAACTATGACGGCATTGTTCAAGCTCAATAAATCAGAAGTCTTAATATTTAAATTTCAACTTGACTTTCATTTATCACAATATTAAGAACCAAAACATAAGATAAAACACAAATGGAAGGGGCTATTAAACCGACTTTGCCAGAATCTCATTATGTAGCCCTGCCTGGCCTGGAACTCACTATGTTACCAGTGGGCCTCAAACTCACAGACATTCACCTGCCTCCACCTCTCAAATGCTGGGATTACAGTCACCACGTCCAACAAAAATGTACAGTTTGGGGAGAAAAAACACCAGGGAATGTAATGCTGGGGCTAAATCCTGTGCTCCAGGAGATGAAGTTGAAAGAAAGGCCTGATGGGGGCTGGAGAGATGGTTCAGAGGTTAAGAGCACTGGCTGCCCTTCCAGGGGACTGGGGTTCGATTCCCAGCATCCACATGGTGGCTCACAACCACTCACAACCATCTGTAATGAGATCTGGCGCCCTCTTCTGGCCTGCAGGCATACATGCAGGCAGAACACTGTATACATAATGAATAAATCACTCTTTAAAAAAAAGAAAGGCCTGATGGTATATTAATAAAGAGAGTCTCTGGGTAAGACTCCACCCAGCTAATCCTGTAACCTGCAAAAAGGAAGCTTATGCAACAAAGGAAAACATCAACAAGTCAAAGCTTAGCGAATGTAAGTCAAAGAAGACGCCAGGTTTTAGCCCAAGCAAGCGGAACTTGGTGGGAGCAGGATTGGAATTGTGGAATCTTCCTCCTCGGTTAACGAAAGCCACTGAGGCCAGGCATGTGGTAGAGTCCCTGCGTGGAGATCCGGAGATGCCATTGCATGAAGCTGTGAAAGTGAAGCCTGGCTTTTGTTGGGGCACCTCCCCAAGATGTTAGGGGCTGCAGAGCCATGGGACGTCTGCAGAGGAGAGTTACGAACAGAATGTGGGAACAGCCCAAGAGAGAGAGAGCTGTTGCTGTCAGCAAAGCTGGAAGGAGTTGGGGGTCCAAAAAGCAACCCTTTCAGCCCTCTGACATCAGACATGGACTTACGGGGTTTGGAGTCTGTCCTGCTGTCCTGCTTTCTTTCTCCGCTATGCCCTTTTCTCCCTTTTGGAATGGTAATGTATATTCTGTGCCTGTATACTGGAAATATGTCATTTGCTTTTGATTTTAATTTTACAGAAGGTTCCAGTTTTTTTTTTTTTTTCAAGTTGGGTTCAAGGACATGAGTGTTTCTCATGTTATTCCAAATTCCTTGGAAATAGCTTCTAATTTATTTTGAGACAGGTTTCTTCAGTATGTAGCCCTGGTTGTCCTGGATCTCACTCTGTAGACCAGGCTGGCCTTGAACTCACAGAGATCCTCCTGCCTCTGCCAGACTTGGTGGTGCATGCCTTTATTCCCAGCATTTGGGAGACAGTCTGATGTTGTGAGTTTGAAGGCAGACTGGTCCAGGTAGTGGGTTCCAGGCCAGCCAGGGCTAGCTACATAGTGAGGTTCTATTTCAAAAAATAAAATAAACCTTCAAAAAAAGAGGGGTGGGGGGATGAGGGGGTGGGAGGGTAGGGTGAGGGGTGGGGCGCCTTAGTGCCGAAGTATTTGCTTAGTAAGCATGCCAGCAGTCCTGGATTCCATCCCTGTCTTCACATACACACAAAATAGTAAAATTATGGGCTGGGACCAGACATGATGGCACATGACTGGAATCCCAGCACAGGAGAGTCAGAGGCTACCGAGGGAATTTAAGGCAACCCTGGGTAACTAAGTGAAACTCTGCTAAATAAATAAATAAATAAATAAATAAATAAATAAATAAATAAATAAATAATGGAGGGCCAGGGGTGTAGCTTATGGGTAGAGCACTAGTCTAGAATTCCCCCCCCCCATTGAAACCGGGGCTGTGGCTAAGATATAGAGTACCTGCCAGAAACCCTCCAGTAAGGGAAAGGTTTATCTTTTTCTCACCTAGAACCAGCTTGCCAATAGCCAGGGTCAAAGGTCCACCTCTCAAGTCTGTCACCCTCTGAGGCACTGCCCATGAGCTGCTAGGTGGGGCTTTGGAGCTGACTGAAGCAGCCTGAAGCAGGTGTTCAGACGGCAGGTCTTGCCATGGGTTCACTTGGGGGCAAGACGGTTCCTTCTGTCTACCTGCCGAGGGCACAAACAGGATGCTCAGGTGCCCCACATGGGGACTTGTGACCTGAACAAATCCCTGTCCCTTTCCCTCTTGAGTAGGGTCTCATGGAGCATGACAGCCTGGGCTGTCCTTCTTATGCAACCAAAGCTGGCCTTGAACTCATGACTTTTCTTCCTCCATCTCCTACCCGGATTACAGGTATATGTCACTACACAGTTTTAAGCTATGTTGAGGACTGAATTTAGGGCTCTGTGTGTAAACTGAACGTTCTGCTAATCGAGCTACATTCCCAGCTCCCACTTCTTTTTCTGTGTTATTGTATGTTTAATTATGTGTATATGTGTAGGTATGTGCATGCATATGTGAATTACAGGCAGTTGTGAGCTTCCTAATGTGGGTGCAGAACACTGAACTCAAGTCCTCTGCAAGAGCAGTATATATTTAACTATTTCATCTGTGAGATTGTATTAATTTTCCTTCTTTTTGAGACAGGATCTCACATATAGCCCTGGCTGGCCTGGAACTCTCTAACTAGACCAGACTGGCCTAGTCCACACTGTCTCAGTGTCTTCAAGTACTGGGATTAAAGGCAGGTACTACCATGGCTAGCTAATTCATTTTTCTGTTGGTGGAGATGGAGCCTCATTAATACTAAGCAAATGCTGTATCAGTGAGCCACACCCCAGCCCCTCACTGGGGGATTCTAGGCAGGGGCTCTACCACTGAGTCACACCCCAGCCCCTCACTGGGGGATTCTAGGCAGGTGCTCTACCACTGAGCCACACCCCAGCCCCTCACTGGGGGATTCTAGGCAGGTACTCTACCACTGAGCCACACCCCAGCCCCTCACTGGGGGATTCTAGGCAGGGGCTCTACCACTGAGCCACACTTCTGCTCCTCACTGGGGGATTCTAGGCAGGTTCTCACCACTGAGCCAGGACCCAACTCAGGAGGTAGATTCTTTCCACTCTGCCATGATTTGGGTCCTGTTTCAACACTGCAGCTGTCCACCTAGCTACATAGAACTTGCTCTTTCCTAAACACCCCCTTCTCCACCTTGTATCCCCTCCAGTCATGAGGGGTTAGCTCCTT